AACAAAGATAAAAAATGACCTTGAATTGAAAAATTACTGTTTTTTGTCCTGAAAACCCAGCTCCAAAACTTTGGGAATATCATTTTTTTGGTCAATGGCATATTCCTAGGGGGTGCGCTCATTAAAAATCGCATTTTAGTTTTTCTGAGCCACCCTAATGATGCACTTATAGCAAGCAATAAAAATATCAAATAAGACGGCTATTAAAGCAATAGCGACAACAACGCCGGTAAAGTAAGGCGACTCTTGGTCTCTTGGTTATCAAAAATTTTTGTACGTAAAATTGAACCAACGAAAGAATCACACAGTCGTATGCTATGTGACCAGGGAATTATGTATGCCTTACATACGCAAGGTGCTCTTGGACAGCGTGGGACAACTCAGGTAATATCCGTACTCTTATATTATTTGTCCTTAATATTGATGTCTTTCTCATCTCAGGCCTACATAACAACTGATAGAACTTTAATATAATCGTCGTTGAGATATAACGCCCCCCTTCTGTTTGGGTTATATCTCAACGACTTACACGATTATTTGGACGGTGGTTTGCAGGTGGAAGAACTGAATATAAGGTTGTTGTTATATGCAGATGATATAGTCATCTTGTCCGATGATGCAGAAACGCTACAGAAAATGATATGGAATCTTGAAACATACTGCGACAGTTGGAATTTAGAGGTAAATTTAGCCAAATCGGCAGTCATGGTGTTTAGAAAAGGCGGTAAGCTGTCTAGTAGAGAAAGGTGGACATACAAAGGGGAAGTGCTTAAAATAGTCGCTGAATATACATATTTAGGGGTAACGCTCACGCCAAAAATGATATTTAAAAAACACCTGGAAAACAGGAATATATCTGCAAAATCAAGCATAAATGCCACTTGGAGTACGTATTTAAATAACGATAAAATTTCAATCAGGGCAAATTGGCAAATGTTCAATGCTATTTGTAGAGCCATACAAGGCTATGCGGCGCAAATTTGGGGGAGTGACATGTTTAGCGAAATAGACAAATTACAATGCTACTTCTTCAAAAGAATTTACAGGCTTCCCAATTTCACTCCAACCTACGCCATAATGCTGGAATCAAATATGGAAAGCGGGCATTTGTACACAATGGACTTGCATTTAAGATACGTCTACAAGACTTTGTTTGAATATAATGAAAGGAGATTGCCAAGAATATTGTCACAAAAAGTTTTGCAAAAAAATGTATTTTGGGCAGAGAGACTAAACGTTTTGGGAAATGAGGCAAGCCTAGTTTGGAATGATGAAACAACAAGCCAAGAATGGAAGAACAATAATTTCGTATTATTAAATCACTTAAAAGTGGAAAACAGAGTAAAAATGTGGCGAAAAGCATTGAGAAGTGAAAGCCGAATTTATAAGTACCTAGACCATAACTTGGGGGCTCAATATTTTACAGAAAGCTTCAGTCGTGCGCACATAATGTGGATTTTTAAGGCGAGATGCGACTTAATTCATTTAGATGGCAAATACAATAGAAACTGTACACTGTGCAATCTCAATGAAACGGAAAGCATACAGCACTTCTTAGGCCGCTGTCCTATACTAAGGCCGTTTAGACGAATTTGTTTTGAGAGAGAAACGTTAGTGGAAGAGGAAGTAATCAATGTGCTTAATGGGGAAAATGATTCTAACTGGAAAAAATTGATTAACTATATTACTAGTGCTTTAAAATACAGAAAACTAATTATAAATGAATTTAATACTTTTTAATTAATATTTAAAAGCATATACAATTAATTTAAATTCTGTATAATTCCTTTTTTGTATTGTAAATATAAATTAAGTTTGTAAATTTAAATTTTAAATTTTGTAAATTCTTAATTTTAATTTTGTAAATTTTAAATTTTAATTTTCTAAACGTTATACAAGAAAGTAAATTTATTTTAAACCAACATCTCCGACAGACGACTATAAGTCATTGTCGTATTCTTTGTTTGTTCAATTCAATATTTTTAAGTAACTATAATGTTTTTAGACTTAAGGCTTATTACTTATTTATGTTAAAAAATTTTTCTTTGAAATTGAATAATAAAGAATCTAATCTAATCTAATCTAATCTAATCTAATCTAATCTAATCTAATCTAATCTAATCTAATCTAATCTAATCTAAAATAAAATATATTAATTTTATTTAATATATATATTATATTAAAATAACTCACAAGTAACACATCGCATCTGCATCGGTATCACACGGAATGCATCTGAAATTATTATTACAATTAACAAAAAAAAATAAAGAAGTGTATTAAAATAAGTGAAGAAAATACGCACCTTATTTATTCACTATTTATATATATATTTTATTTTTGTTTGTTTTATTATTTGTTTTATCTTTCTTTTTTTATTTATTTATTAATAAATAAATATAAATATTAAAAGCACAAACACCGACACTACATTAATAAAAACACGTTTGTAAACAAGACAAGAAACATCAAAGCTTGAAAGCTTTGGTTGAACTAAATACAAAGTACGACGAATTCAAAAACACACGAAAACACAAAGCACAGAAATTACGCCTAGGCGAATAACAGCAACAAAAGACGACAACTACCAAAAATACCAACGGCAAATGTACCGATGCACTACAGGAAAAGCTTCGGTAGTTTGAATATAAATAAAAGCGCATTGTACAAGCAGAGAGACTTGGCTATGTGAATTCAGACAAGAAACAAGCCCAGCTCAGGCTCATTCAGCCTATTGGTCAATTCGATCAAAATTTAGCTTACAGGCTCGTTGAGCCTAACTGGTCCATCCGATCATTTATTGTTAATTGTTCCTAACTAACCTGGCTCATTCAGTCAACATCACGTTCTATACAGGTCTTCCAGCACTTCTAAGACTGGAAGACCAAGACTTCCGTAGGTCGATTTTATCCTAGAAGACAAAGCCGTGTGTGTTTTACTTTTATCTATTCCCGGTGTACCAAGTTTGTGTTATGGAATTAACTTCGAATTTATGAATTAGCTTTAGAATTAATTAAATCTATTTATCCCAGTTTAATAATCAAAAACAAACAACTTTAACTTTATAATATTAATCTATGAAATTTTAAAAGGAGGAATAAAAAAACATAATAATCAAACTTAAAGTGAACTTTATTTCAGTATATAAGAATATTATTGCAACAAACCTGGACAGCCGCTTTGCTATCTCAGGAAACAAAACGACTGGAAAAGTTGGTCGTTACACCGTAAATGACTACACTAAACTACACTAAGTACCTATTTGCGGAGAAGTAGTCATTGTAAAGGTTATGAAATTTAAAGCTTCATTAAAGATAGTTAGTAATGTCGATTACGTTTGGATAGAACATTTTTTGGAAGTCCTGTCAAATTTTCACCGCACTTATATAATTAAAGCATGATATTATTTTACATTTATACATAATACCTTTAACATAATCGAATATAAAATTTTTTCTAAACATGTTAAATATATTACATACATAATTCAATTGACTAACTATATTGCAGAAACCGAGAATAAAAACTTTGAACAAAAAATCGAAATCAAAAACTCAACAGATAGTTTAAAACCTTTCATTGATTAACATATATACTCCTTCAGTGCCACAGTTTATTCATACAAAAATGATTTAGTCACCTAGGCAAATTAAACAAAGTTGAATATAATTTTCAGTTTTGCAGCAGAAAATAGCTTCATGTTTGACTGAATTTTTTAACATAATAACTTCCATATCTGTTTTATATTCGCTAGTCTTTTATAGTATTCATCACTTGAACTCAATTTTTTTCAAACTGTGCCAAATTCTATGCTAACATCGCCGGAAATAAGGTAGTGCCCTGAACTTGTTGAAATTTGCATGAAATGCATATCTGCTATATATAATAATTGGAACTGAAATCAGATAATCTTCCTAAGCATAAATCGACGAAATGCTTTAATATTGAGTCTGTTTGTAAAATATAAATTAAAGATGCGATTCCGATCTCCCGGGTCGGGAAAGATTTGATAACAAATTTTAATATAATCAGGTATCCTTAGAAACTTCTTCCTGTAAGCTATATGCCGATATAGCTTATTTCTCCATTTATTAAATTAAAAAACTATATTCGCCATTTAGCTTCACTTATTGTGTGCAATTATATTAAATGCCTTATACTGTGTACCACATGTCATAGTATCATAAGTAAACCTAAATATTTAACTTTGATGTGGTGTTTCTTCTAAGTACTTTTAAAATATCAATTTAGCTTTGTCTTGCATGAGTGGTGATAATACATTAATTTACGAAAAAAAAATTTTTAATTTTGGACACATTTTAGAAAGATTTTGAAAAAATTTTCTTTTCTTTCATTCTTCCAAATACCTTCCTACCACAGGATATTAAAATAAGTTGTTATATATTTTATAATTATTTATTCACTATTTTATAGTATCAATTTTGAATTAATTATAATAATTATTTAAATGTAACATGATACGAGTTTTTTCTTTTGGCAATTTTTAATTATTTATTTAGTTTTTAACGATATTAGAACAGTTTTTTATTTATGTTTATAATTATCCAATTCGTTCGAGATATTTAATGCATTTGATTAAATTTGTATAGAATTGTTACAATTGATGTGACATTTTTGCATTGCCGTTCTAGTACATTTGTGTTTGCTTATGCTGAGTTCATTTAATTCATGCCATATTCATATTTAATCAACTTAAACTTAAGTAATGACTTAAGTAAAGATATGACTATATTATACGAATAAAAATTTTATTTTAAAATTATAGTTACAAAAAATAGCAGTTGTTCTCATATTGACAGTGTTTACGTCTTGTCTATGCACTCTTCATATTAATAAACCAAAATTTCGCACCATTAAAAATCTTATGGCATATGTTTTTACTTTGTTAAAACATTGCATCATCTTGTGATGTATACTTCCATATAATAGATTTTATTGCACAACAACAAAAATGAAAGCTGCAAAAACGTCAATTGTAGATAGCTACGAGAAATGTTGTGTGATTGCGCTGGACCACGCGCCGCTTCCTCTAATCCTAGCAATTAGATACAAGAAAAATAATAATGATAAATATCTGAATTAATTTATTTATTATATTTTCTGCTATCACCTCCAATATAATTAAGATGATCATCGTTTATTGACGAAGCCCCAGGATGCAATTTTATTTCTAAAAGAAATGTTATCTTTTTATATTGTTTTGTAATCATTTGTGCACATTTAACTCACCATATAGTCTTAATGTACCTTCAGCTCTCCCTAAAGAATTTGTGCTTACACAATGATAAGTGCCTACATCAGAGGCTGAAAATGAGCGCACAACAAGCAACATGACACCACGGTAACCGTCACGCTTCTCTGTTATTCCATATTTCGGCCTAGAAAATAATAATCGCATAAATCATTATTGATTATTAGTATTCGCGTCTACATCATTGTGATATTACCCATCCAACAACATTTCTGGACCCGGTTGGCCTGATTCAACATTGGAACTTGACACACTTGCAAATCCACTAGGGGTGCGTACACCTTTTAACCAATAGGAAACTGGTGAAGGCGATGCCTAAAGACATTTGTTACAAAAATTAAATGAAATTTACAAGCAAAAGTTTGTTATCAAACCTCAACATGACATTCGAGCTGTACATCTGAACCTAATGGAGTACCCAATAACTGGCTGGGGGCACGCACCATTGGAGCAACTGTTAAGATATTAGCGTTATTATATTTTTCAAAACTATTAAGAAATGCGGCTCTCAAATATAGAGGCAGATGAAATGAACTTATAATACAATGTGCAGTAATCTAAAATAATATCTATTATTTGAAAACTTAAAAATTATAATTGGTGTTACAGCGTATCTAGTAAAATCTTTGTATTGAACTTCTGATAATTGTAAGTTATTTGTTAGAAGTTTTCTTATTATATGAAAAGATTAGAAGTAACTTCACTCCAAATTAAAAAACATATATATATATATACATATATATATATATTAGGGTGCCATTAATTTTCGAAAGTCGGAAAATTGCCCGCGGCATCCCCCAGATCGGTTCATTTTACTAAAAAAAATAATCTGTGTGAAATTTTAGTTCAATTGGATAAGTGGAAATTATGCCCCAAGAGCCTCAAAGATTGGAAAATAACGATTTTTTCCATAAAATTCATCTTTGATTGCTTATATCTCCGACATATTTAATTTTACATAAAAACTGTCTTCCTAAAAGTTATAGATCTATTAAAAATAAACAATTCACTCATACAAAGTTTTTCTGTATTTATTGAATAAAAAATTAAAAAATAAATTGAAGTCACCTGATTGCTAGCTTTGAAAGTATTATGAATGTAATTGTCCGCTTCAGCTTTACAAAAAATTTAATATTTCTAAAAAATTTAAAATAAATTCAATATTTCCAAAATTTAATCTTTCTAATAATAAAAAAGTACTAATTCTAGGTTTGTCCGACATAATTTTTATTATTTTAGTTAAAGTTGCTGGAGCAAAGTATCCTTATTACCTTCAGTTATTTTTGCGCGATCTCTCTTACTTTTTTATTTTCTAAGCCGACTGTAAAATTATCAACGTTTATTTTCGGCCAAAACTTCTGAAATCGTTGAAAAAAGTGTACAAGGCTTTCAGACTTGTACACTTTTTAATGTAATCACTTTGAATTAAAATTCACTTCGCATTCCAATGAATAATACAGAAACTCACTTATGTATATAACTATACAAGTATTCTAGCAAATTTAGTAGACAATTCCTTCATTGAACTTACCTAAATATAATAGGGGGATTTCAGCTTGTATTTGCTTTTATTCAATAACTATTAGAAATACAGAAAAACTTTGTATGAGTGAATTGTTTATTTTTAATAGATCTATAAGTTTTAGGAAGACAGTTTTTATGTAAAATTAAATATGTCGGAGATATAAGCAATCAAATATGAATTTTATGGAAAAAATCATTATTTTCCAATCTTTGAGGCTCTTGGGGCACCATTTCCACTTATCCAATTGAACTAAAATTTTACACAGATTATTTTTTTAGTCAAATGAACCGATCTGGGGGGTGCCGTCATCCGATTTTACAAAAAAAAAATTGCCCATATACCTTAATGGCACCCTAATATATATATATATAAACATGACATAATAATATCATGTTCAATAGTTTATTATTCTAAATTGTATTCATATATTTTTACCACACAAACACTTGAAAGGAAAATTTCGGATTACGCTGTAGTGTTCGTAATTTTAATCAGGTGTAATTAGATAATGAAATATCTATAAAAAGCAGAGTGCATGTATAAATGAGTATAAATAAATCAATGTAACGATAATTAAAAATAGCTTTCCAGAACGGTTATTAGAAAAACGGTTATTATGTTCAAATACAGCAATTAGTTTAACAAATTTTTAGATAAATTGGGTTTAAGTCATAGGAAAGTGTTTTTCGGAGAATAGCGCAAAATCATACTAATTAATATGAAGTAGTTTTTCTTTTGCAGAATATATAATGCTCCGATTGCCAAATAAATATAGAATGGAAGTTGCCATTCATAAAATATATATAACAGTATTTAAGCTACTATATGATCGTCAGTTAAAAAAATATTTTGATCTTCTTATTAGTTACTTAGGAATACAAGTTACTTACACTGCACACTTAAAGAGACACGTTTACTAACTGCAGGTGGGACATCGTTTGATGCAATACAAAAGTAAGCACCCATTTGCCGCCGCTCTAAGCGCAATAACTTAAGTGAGGAGCCATTATAAGTTTCGACTGCTCAACAAAAGAAATAAAATATTTTTGCGTTGCGAGCTACATATATGCAACATACCTTTGATCAATTCTCTGCTGCCTGTTTTGCGGATTAAAATCATTTCACCATCTTCCCGTCGCCACGTCACACGTGGCATTGGATTGCCTGTCGCTTTACAAGTCAATGTAGCATCCTCGCCTTCTTGAACAGCGAGATCCGCGGAGGACTCTTCATTAATAATATCCGGAGGAACTAACGGAGAAAGAAATTTTCATCTCGTTAAATTATGTTATTGATATTGTTATTGTTATTGAATTTACCTTGCACATCAATACAACCTATTTGTTTCTTCATGGGGCTCGTATTTATTTGACACATATAACAGCCGCGATCACTTTCGCGCAGTTTACTTATTTTTAATTTCCAAGTGTGTATATCTTCGTGCATAACACTTATTCTTGCGTTATGCGTTACGACACGTCCTTGCAACGCTAAAACTGTTTGATCAGATGCACGCAGCCAGCCAACCTATTTAAAATATGGATTTTACAATATAATAGTAACGTATAGGTTTCTTATAAGAGAATTATAAAGAAAACAGTGATATCGAGTCTTCTTTTAGTTATTACGACTAGATATTCATTGAAAGCAATTCAAATTTCGTCTAAAGCTGAACAAAATTAATATATTTGATTTTGGCTCTTACTCCAACTCCAACTCCAACCCCAACCTCAATTTGTTTTATGCATTAATTTAACATATTTAATATATTATATTTGATGTAAGTCAAATAATTTAAATTTAAGCTCCCAAATTATATATCACTAGGCTTTATAGAATATAATAAATGGAATGTTTTTACAATGTTAAAAATATTCATATAATTTATTAAATATACCGAAATATACGATTTAAAATGGACATTAAACATTTTTATTGTATATTTTTCAGATAAGCATTTCTTCTTCATTTTGATAAATACTTCTTTGAAAAATATTCCTACATCGATTCCTCTTATTTAACATTTCTGTGGTATATTTGAAACTTTTCACCATCATTTCACGTGAAATGATCTTACCTACGGAACTAATGTAATAGTTTTTCCAAAATCTTTCAATTTCATTACTCTCACCCACCCATATCGAATAAACTTTATTGAGTTTAATTTTATTGTAAGAAACCCTTCCTCGGCCGTTGATAGCACGGGCAGCTCATGGTTGTTCAGTGGGTTACAAAATAATATGCTTGGCACACTTCCCAACTGAACATAGCTTTAAATAAAATTCTGTATTATCTTCTAAAACTATAAATTCTTTTCACAATTTTCAATTTTTCAATTTTAAGTATATTAAACAAGTGGGCTCCTTAACGCACAAATACAAATATCATTGTCTTACCTTATTTTTTATCATTTTCTTACCTTATTTTTACCTAAATTTCGAACAGAGCAAACTAAAATAGCTTCTCGTCCTGCAGGATAGGTCACATTGTTAATACTGCCAATAAATTCTGGATCTGGATCAAGTTGCGAATTAGGTTCTGAAATACACGAATAATTTATGAATATAAGTAAAATTTGTCGTGGCGAGTTTAACTTTTTACCATGTAAATTCTGTGATGATGTGTTTATGCATTTTGTCACAGTAAAAATAAATATAATAAAAAACGATTGCAGTTTCTCCATTTTAGACAGGTCGTAATTTATTTACAAACCACAGTTATTGTTATAAAAATTCTTGCAATCTCTTGTAAATATCTTTTCTATAGCTTTTAGTTTATTTGTAAACATACTATATTTCTTAGCATTTTCAGGTCTTCAAAACTTTTATCCTGTGTTGCTTCAACAAATTTCAGCTTCATTGCTGGTGATGTTGCACCTTCAAAGACAGATAAAAAGTAGAATTGAAATTAGAAGACAATTCTATTATATATAAGTTTATAACTCATTATAACATATTATATGTACATTTTAAAAGAACTTAAATAGTAATTTCTTTAAATATATCTCACTCTAAATATATTTGTATTTATTTCCCTTTTCCATTTTGTCATTAGCAAATAATATTTTATTGGATATAGTATAATTAATACATACAGAAAAAAAAAAAACAATCGACAATTAAGCATCGCATATGCGTGATATATCATTATTAGGTGTATGTTTATTGTGTATATTGTGCTCTTTTTAAAGTGCTTTTTTGCCGCACTTTGAATATAGAATAAGTAACATAAGGTGTCAGAGAAATAATTACACAAAAATGAAAATTCGTACTAAACTCGAGTAAGGTTAGGGAGAGTCTTGTGTCGGTTACGTTAGCTCAAGATTCTTGTTTTGACTCTCTTAGCTGTTTGGTTTTCTTGATTCAAGAGCTACTATATCTCGGTACACCTATATGACATACCTATACGTTTTTGTGTCACTGATCTTATTAAGAAATTAAGAAACATAAAATACTTATGCTTTAGATTTAATTTGTCGGCTCTCAATTATCTGATACATGACACATGATACATGATTTTTTAAGAATATATGAAGCAACTTCAAGTCCGTCACTATCGCTTAAAACACAGTAGAATAGTTTGTTTCTGTTCTGTGTGATAACTGAAGTATGTTCATTAGTCAATAAATTCCGAAATTCAATCTTGTTATATATGTAGTATAAAAACAAACTTGAGTTAATACGAGTATATGTTCATGTTTTCATTAACAAGGGTTTTATTTTTAAAAACCTCCTTGGTAATTTTTGTTAGTATATCAATCTAAAGAACACAGATATAAAATAAGTTTAACAAAAGCAGGAATATCTTTAATATGGATTTGAAAAAGCCATTTCTCAAATACCGAGTAACGAAGTAACTAATATGAAAAAATAATTTATTATTTAAAATAAATTTTTTAAATAAGTAATCAACAAAGTAATCCATTATGTTTTATGTAGTGAAGCGCTTTAAAGATCATAAGATACTCTTCTCCTCTGTTTCTACTAAAAGTGCAACAATACGCTGTAATGTTGATGTGAACGATTCGCCTAACATGCCAATATGGCTTCACCTGTCTTTTGGAGAGCTTGAAAATTTTTTTTGATGTTCTACATTTTCGATTGGGTAATCAAAACTATAAATAAATAATAGATTTATTATTATGTGTTTATGTGTCTATATATCAAGACACTTTGAAATATCGTAATATCTTCAGAGATGGTACAAGACTAAACGTCTTGTTATTTAATTTATTTAATGATTCCTCAAAATGTTGTGGGGTGTGAGTCACACCTGAAAAAAAGTCTTTTGAAAGTTTTCTGGTTATCGAAAGTCGGTAACATAAATGGCTTCGTTATATATGTATGTAAAATAATCACAAACAAGCAACACACACAAGTGTTTCCTTCCCAGTAGAAAACGGATCGATCCTTCATCGAAGACGTCTTCAAGACATGGATACATACATGAAGACCGATCGATCCAAATGTATGACGGTCTTCGAAGACACTTTCATACAAATTAGCCAAATGTCTTCAATGAATTTTTGCGTACATGTCTCGAAGACCGTCTCGAAGACCATGTCTTGCATAACGGACGCATTCGACAGAAAGTTGTGCGCTCTTAATGCAGTGCTCATATAATTTTTTCACCCTTTTTTTATTTCTACTCTTTTATTGCGCTCTTTAAATTTTAAATGAATTTCAATTTTCTCTTTAAATAAGTAAAAAGAAATTGTTGTATTTTGTACTTTTATTTATTTTATATAATAATTTCTTAAATTACATTCAAAATTAAAAGTTTTAAAAGTAAATTATAAATTTTATTATAAATTATTATAAATTTTATTAAGATATTAAAAATAAACTAGTAAAAACTAGTAAACATAATGAAAATTAATTTAAATAATTAACTTAATATAACTTAGCATATCTAAAATTAACTAAAACTAATATAAAATAATTTATAGCATTTCGCTATCATCAAATGTTGAAGTTTTATATGTTTTCAAAAGCGTTGAAGAGGATTTTGGTACAATTAAACCTTCTGATCTTAAGAGTTCTAAAATATCATTACTACAACGCCTGTTAATCCTGTGTTTTTTAAATATAACAGCTAATTTTTCACAAGTGTTTTCAGTTTTTTTATTTTCAACATCCTTTGTTTCGTTTCTAAAACAACTTTCACTGGAATTATTGTCGTCAATATTAATATCAATATATTTTCCAGGAACTAAGTCACTATTTAATTTGTTTTGACTTTATTTCTTTTTTTTTAATATTTCGTAGTTTAATGATTTTGTTTCTTTATTTATTTTGATTTTTTTAATATTTATTTCACTACACTTCAAAATTATTGCGTCACTTCATTTATAAAACATAGCGTCATCTGAGGCAAAATTCAAATACGTTGTTATGAACACTAAAAATGAGAGAGAAAGCAAAGAAAGAGTATTTACATTCATGTTTTGAGCAATTGTTTTGCTTGAAAATGCGGACGCGGTATCAAAGACCGTCTTGAAGACAATGTCTTCGAAGACCACTTTTTCTACTAGGTTTAGTTTAAACAAGTGTAAAGAACACGAAAATATATACACGAAAATGCAACCATGCGGGGTTGACTTTGCGAAATTGCGGGATGCATAGCGTTTTTATTTTTAAAGAGTAATAAGAATACATTGTAAACATCGAACTTAAAATTTCGACATGTAAAAGATATAAGAGAAAATTATAACTGTCAGAGTTTTGTACAATTATTATAAATATAAAATATAATAAATAATAATTTAACTTAACAAAAATCAGAAGTGGGATAAATATCGCCTAGCCGAAACGTGTGAGTGTGCCCTTGAGAGCGCTAGTGCTTCAACAAATTAACATGCGCGAAAGCAAAGTTAAGATATACAACAAAACGAAACGTGTTATTTATAAATTAACGGCTGTAATAAAATTTAAATGGTAAAGTTAATGGACATGCGTTAAAGCGAGTTGAAATAGGCGTTGGAGGAAGAAGGTTTAGATAGGACAATGCAGTTGGTATTGCGTCTGACGGAACACCTGACGGAGCAGACGAAATCCGCTAGCCGATAGATGTGAGTTCCATAAATTTAAGTATGGATAAAATGGAACGAATTATTCAACAACTGGTAGTGGGCATAGAAAAAGTGACACGAAGTAAACCTATGGAAAACGTGAGTGAAAAAAACGAAAATCAGAAGACGGCAATTGCATCTACAGTGACTAACGATCTATCACAACATGGGTCTGTAAAAGATATCAGCGAAACGATACCCGTGTTCGATCCAACAGATAGAAACGGTCTTAATGCATCCCAATGGAATGAGAAACAACTATTGCTAGCCGTTTATGGAAAGCTAAAAGGAGTAGCGCGGGTGTGGCTGGATTCTTTACCAGAATTCGATAGCGAGTGGAGCAGTTTTTCGAAGAAGTTGTGTGCAGAATGTAATGTAAAACGTGACGAAGCTGACAATAATTTTGAATTGAATCAAGCGGTACGTAATGCAATATGCAACACAGAAGGAACAAAAGAGTTTTGGTAAATTCATCGTCAAATCCGATAATAAATTCGTGCGTAATGCCAAAAAACAAAAGTGTAGACGCTAATGGAAACTCCGGACAGCAACAGTTTAGAACGGAACCGAAGGTTAGAAGCGACTAACTGAAAGGCACAACTCGCCGTCCATAGCGTACGTCAACTAATACATCCAGAAGTCAGAATTTACGTATGCCAGCCCTATTGTTTTGGTCAAGAAAAAGAATGACCAAGCTCGCTTATGCGTTGATTATCAACAATAACACAATCAAAGAAATATTTCCCACCCCAAGTGTCGAAGAACGACTACAAGAAGCAAAACAATATACTTACTTCATAACCCTTGATCTTAACTCAGGGTATTATCAAATACCAATAGCGGAAGAAAGCAGAAAGTATACTGCATTTATAACGACAATTGGGTTGTATGAATTCAAACGTATGCCTTTCGGACTCAAAAATGCTCCGGCGGTTTACATGCGTATGATGGCCAAGGTCAAAGAAATGACTTATCCTGGCAATATGGTGGATTTTATGGGCGACATTGGCGTAGGCGGAAATACGGCAGGCGAAATGTTTAGCAAATTACATCGAGTATTTAACGCATTAAGTAAGGCGAAATTGACACTAACTATAAAAAAATGCATATTTCTGAATTGAGATATCGAGTTCCTGGGTCACAAATTGACTTCAGACGGCATTAGCTCTGGTACAGCAAAAATTTTAGTAGTCGGAAACTTTGAAATGCCCCAAAACCAAACGGAAATACGAAAATTTTTAGGTTTAAGTGGTTACTTTAGGAAATTTGTTCCTTGTTATGCGATCGGGAGTAAACCGTTACGACAACTTTTTTGAGTGGTGTAACGAGCAAGAAAAATCATTCAATGAACAAAAATCAATATTAACGAAGAAGCCAGTTATGACTGCTTATTGATCGGATGCCGAGCATGCAAGCTCGATTGGGTTAGTAGGTGTGCTGTTATCAAACGAGAAGGACGAATGGAAACCGGTCGTGTACTATAGAAGATCTACAAAGATAGATGAACAAAAGTAATTTTTATTGTTGGAAGTCAAAGACAATGTGATGTAGTAATTCAATTATTTATTTAGGAGATTTGCAAATAAAATAAGGTTTTACAATCTAATATAATTATAATATAATACTGGTTTGCTGATTTGATGACTATTTGATGACGATTGTTGTTTGTAAAGACACACTTTTTGTCGCTGATGATGCTGACGCATACTTAGCCGTTGTCCAGGCGTTGTATTTATGTTCACGAGCAGATCACACTCCTCTTGCGAGAAAACGTTGTTGGCTTGACGTTATACCAGACTA